CGTGCATCCATGCATCCATGCATGCATTCATGCATCCATGCATTACATACATACATGTATATACATCTTTATTTTTGTATATATGTATATACATACATATAATATCATATAATATGATACTGTAATTGTATCCTGCAGAAAAAGGTTTTCATGTCTGAAAACATCCATATCGAAATGGACGCAGCTATACTTGTAGGGCATGGACGCGTATTTGGCTTTTGACTCGCATGCTCGTCAATGTCTTGGATATTCATTTGCATTTCGGGCACCATCAGATAATGGAAGAATATGTTGTCTGGATTTGTGTTCCAGCCCGAGTATCGATTTATTGTGGGGATAAGTACATCATCAGATCCACCCAACACTGTATTCAATACCCTCCATATGGGATCAAAGAATCAATCCGATACTAAACCATGGAATCTAGGGGCGTATTTAAGGGTGGCCTGTCTATGCGACTAGATCAGGATGGTGCCAATTCTCGGGCGCGACAGGTCAAACTGAGACTTCACAGGAAAGACATTCCTACAGGCAAAGCGCATTTGCTAAAAAAAGGCTCAGCATCTGGCTGGAAAAGCCGCGGCAAGTGCCCGTTTTTCATGTGTCATATCCTATCTGAGAGTTGGTGGAGCTCCAAACACTCAGAATCCCAAGGAACTTGGGTCAAGTTTGTGTCAACCTAGTCGTTGGATGATCTGGTTGGTGATTTTTGATTGGATCATCAGACAAAACCACACATCCGAACCAGTGAGGTCCAGTTTGGTCAGTGCTTTAGGTGTGTCTCTCATTGTTTTTCTATAGATTAGATGTTTTCATAGGGAAGTCCTTTTCTTCGAAGCGAGAGTCTCGTTCCGAACACACTGGTACTCACTGGTACTGTTTTTTTTCCCCTTCGCCCAGGTACGCAACTTTTTGGCACTTGATCACTGGCAAAGATCCAGGAGGACGGGATGTTAGGATGTTCCCACGCTGGATGTTCCCATGATTTTCTCGAAATTTCGCCAGGTCGGGCCCAGAACGAGTTTGAATCAGCAGGGGGACTCGTTGGACGTTTGTGGTTGGGGATCTGGGTGATTCTGCAGTCGAGAAATTCGCATTCCCTATGCCAGGCCTATGCTAGTAGCATTCTTGAAAGCCAAGGTAGCCAGTGTACTAGACTTACTAGACTGAATACATGTCAAGTGAGTCGATCTGTTCCGCAAACCCAACTTTGATGTCACCAGATGCCTCTGATTGGTGGGACTGGGGTATACTTATTCAACCCGGTCCTTGGTATGCTGTATCTCTTTCCTTTTCAATTGATTTGTTGTTTGCTGTTTGTTCCTTTATTCTACTCTGTTGAGTGGCACTCCCCCTTGAGAATGTAGACATGTTCATGCATTTTCCACACTGATGTCAGTATAATTTCTCAAGCTTCACTACATCAGGTCAGGTCCATCCCGAAACAGCCAAGTTCAGTGGTAACTCGCGACTCTCAGGACACACCTGATCACTGGGCTCAGTCGTTGCTGCTCCGGGGATCGAAAGAGAGGATCCATGGGATATCCATGGATGCCATAGGGAAGCCCTACCTGGGATATACTGGGATCATCGTAAGAAAATCATGAGGATGATGGGATGATCTGACCTTTGGTACGAATCAGCCTTTCTGACTTAAACAAATCAGAAGTAGATTGGAAGCAGTTGGATGTCCACTCCACTTAAGAAACTGACCAGGACACCACTATTAGTTGACCACGTTGCATGCTTATCCCCAAGCGGGGAATCCTACCCGTGCTATGTATAACTATGAAGTTAATTATGTATATACTCTATACTATACATCTACAGGGGGGGTCCCCAAACCACGGGTTTCAATACTGACATACACTGACATATACTGCAATTGCTCAAAGGATCTAATGACTTCGGGGATTTGGATGGGGGATTTGGATAGAAACCCCCCAAATCCATCCAGATCCTCCACAGTTTTGGGCACCGCACGGATCAGACGCTAGGACGTGTACCCAAGCGGGGGTGCCCCTGTGGCATTGCTCGTGTGCTCGGAGCTGGGTAGGCACGGGGGGACATTCAAAGTCATTCAATTTATTGTCATTAATGTCCCATATTGTCCCATATAGTCCCTAAGATTTGGGGATATTATGAGATATGAAACCTGATAGACATTCACTTATCCCCATGTCGATGGTGCCCATAATTGATGGATAATTGAATGTCATATTACCCATTGATAGATTCAATTATCTATGGAAACCACCATAATATCATTGATAAGGCATTGATATGGGGATATTATCGGATATTATCTATGAAAATATTATCTCTTTGATCAATGAAAATGGAGATGCTATTCAATGATAGACATTCATATCAATTATCTTATGATAGCCCATATAAAATCCCATAATATCCTCATAATTATCCCCATAAGTATCTTATTGATAGACATTCAATTATCCCCATGTCACTGGTGCCCATAATTGATGGATAATGAATGTATATGATTGAATATCATATTACTCATTGATAGATTCAATGATCTATGGAAACCCATCATAACTATGGAAAGTCACCATTTTCAATGGCTATGTTAGTTATACATCACCATTTTCAATGGGTTTTTCTCACAATATATCACCATTTATCATCCATTTTTACTGCATATTACATCATATTACCAGAGGGTATCTATGGAACCCCCCATAAAAAAAGGGGGTGCTCATGGGATCACCAGGCTGGTGCCCCATTTCTCATCGTGGCCAAGTCGAGGCACGGCCAAATACCCCCTGGTTATGACTAACATAGCCATGGTATAGATGGCCCATAGAAATAGATGGTTTACCGAACTTAAAAATGGTGATTTTCCATGGCTATGTTAAATAACCAGATGGTATATATCTATAGTGACGGACAATCACTTAGAACGTATTTTGGAAAAAAAAATCTGAATATTACTGCTTTTTTTACGTTCTAAGCCTTGCACTTAGAACGTCGAAAACCATACACTTAGAACGTCCAAATATCAAGATTCATCACTTAGAACGTACCGGGGATTTAACACTTAGAACGTGTCTAGGTCACTGATTTAACACTTAGAACGTCGAAAACCATACACTTAGAACGTGTCTATGTCACGTCATATGGTAATTGTTCATAATTATAGTGGCGGACAATCACTTAGCACGTTCTAAGTGTTGGTTTACGTTCTAAGTGATAAATGGGCCTAAGTGATATTTCGACGTTCTAAGTGATGAATTTTCCCTACGTTCTAAGTGATGAAATTTTGCTACGTTCTAAGTACGAAAAAAAAATGGAAAAAAAATTACGTTCTAAGTGATTGTCCGTCACTATATATATATACATACAATCTATAGTTATAAGATAGTTATAAGAAAGTTATAAGATACTTACTTAATATATTAAGAGTAACTTGATATAGATAATGGTAGATTCAGTTTTTTTCATCTGGTTATTTGACGTAGCGAAACCATCAAATTGATAGATACCTGGAAAACCAGGTGTCCTATAAAAAGTGCCAACTACGCCACTGTGTGCGGTTTTGGGATCAGAAATAGGGCACTGAGATTTCAAGCTTTTTCACGCCATGGCTCAAGCAGATCGACATGCATAGAGCACATCACAAATGCAACATCTTCCTACCACAGGAGTTGAGTAATCCATCCACAGTACAACATAAACGATGCATGTTTATTTTTTATTCAACCCGCTGCGGTGCCAAAGATGCAGGACCGATCTGACCAAAGAGGGCCTGTCATTGGGCAACATTGGGCTGTAGGAACCATTTTTTTAAGGGTGACTAGATTTGAATCGACACTATTATGCATTATATTTCACTCCCAATTCGCCACCAAGGCAATCAGGTAGCGGGACAGGGTCCGTGTATGGACGGTCCTCAATGAAACCGTTCTGGAAATGGCACTGATTTTCCCTACGTAGTCCTCGTCCATTTGACAGGAAAACATCAAGATATTTGGGCTTGGTAACCCAAGGCGTTTTTGCATCTCCCAAGTGAAGAGCCACTCACCAAAAAGGTGAAATTTAGGCATGAATTTCCATCGCGTGCAATTGGCATTGTATGCCCTCAGGGCACACTTGCTAAAAAAATTGACACACCTGCTTCCAGCCTTCAAGAGAAAGTCTCTTTCCCCGTGGGAAAGCCAAAGCCCAGCTCTGTAGAGGCACTTCATAAAAGCATTGGCTGCACTGATTGTAGCATGAATCTCAAGGAAAACTGGCTTGGATGATTCGCTCATCATGTTCAACTCTTCTCCAATGCGTGACTCTAGAAATTCCAATATGACCACAGTGTCCGCGCCCTTGAACCATCCCCTTAGCAATGTTTGTTTTGGAATGGGAGTATATCTTTTGACATTCAAAGACCAGAAAAAGACAAACAGTAAAACCAAAACATTGTTGAATTAGATTCAAACAAGTTTCGCTGTTGGGTAGTCACTGGACCTGCCAAATCCCAGTAGTGCTCGGGACAACTGTGTCATATGTAATGTCTTCGACTGTGTAGTGCAAAACTGCTTCAGCTCCGAAAAACATGTCGAACAGAAGTCTTCGAAAGACAGGCCACCGAAAAATTCATGATCGTAGCAGCAGACCTGTGGATGCTTCAAGCCAGTTGGGAAAAGATACAACAGGTATATCTATATTTATTTGCCATTTTTTGGGCAACTACAGGCTAAAATTTGCCAAACACTCTCAGAAACAATTGCGTTGGCTGCGATGTCCCCCATGAATCCCTTGTGCAGGGCATGAAAGGCATCAACTCTGAAGAAGTCAGGTTTGTCCGAAACATGTAAAGGAATAGAAGCCACCAATGAAGGCTCAACCCTCCATGGCAAGGGTGGATCCTCATGCATTTTGATCATGTTTTCGTACGATAGGTCATGCCAATTTTCGAAACCAGGTCGATCTGCATTGCACATATGGCAGATTCCCTTCCCATTTGCCCCTGATGTCACCAAGCGGCCAAAATGGCGGGTTAGACCGCCCACCTTGTTTAGAGCTGGCCAGTCCCCCTTCATACAGAGCGGGATGAGATAAACGGTTCCCATCTCATGGTGTTGCAAACGAATGCCGTCATAAAATGCTTTCGACAACTCAGTGGATAAATGGGATATCAATTTCAGCAATGGACGGTTCTTCCTTTTACCACCATAGGCGCGACCCAGCATCACACTCCATAGCACTCTCGTAGTGTATGAGTTTCCAGTCATGTTAATGCCAAGTTCTTCTGCAGAGCTTTTCCTCTTTCTGGTGCCTCTTCCCATAAGAGAGTGGTATTGGATTATCATGATTGATTTTTTTTTCAGCGTGCACCCCTCGTCACAATGAACAGCTATAGGAATACATTGTCCTTCACGGCCCCGATGGGTTTCAAAGATTGGGTGGCGTGGATGCAATAGCCTCCACTTTGACCAAAAATTTTGAAATTGGGCCTCGCCATTCCCTTGCAACAAGATGTCCAATTTGGCCGACATATCGTAATAGGAAACGGTATCCTGGATCGCCAGAGTAGGATGGGTTTCCGTCAAACCAACATCCACATAGGTCAAAGGTATCTGGGCTGATAGGCCATAGTCCGACAAGCTGTTGGCAAACCTGTTTTGGTGCCCTGTTTTGGAAAGCCTGGCAGCCATTTGAACCAGGTCTGCACTAGCAATCTTGGCAGGGTTTCGTAGATGTGGTGAAAACTCTTCCCAAAAAGCCCTTGCAATAGAGCAGGCTTCGGTTTCCGAAACCTAGTTGGCTCACCCAAAACAAGTTTCGCTTTAGGGGTTCGTCATCACTTGACAGGGACAAAGCTTTGCAAAAATATATATATATATATATGTATATGTGTGTATGCTATATATATATATTTGTAACACTATAATATATACATATATATATATACATATATATATAATTAAAAATGCATACATATGTATGTATATTATATGTTTATATATATATATGTAAATGAATATATATATATACTGTATATTTATTTACTATATATATAATATATATATATATTTCGATCCCAAACACTATTCCCAAAACATTGACAGAACCCAACCGGGCAACACCACCAGCCACCGCAGCGGCCAAAGCTTTCCCAGCAGGACCATGTGGTTTGCTTCTCCTCTTTGAGCTTGGAGGACCTGCGCGAAGGGGTGTAATTGGGGGAAGGGTCTGGTGTTTACCAATACTGTACCTCCCAACTTTGCAAAGTTTCTATTCGAAGTATTTTCCCCCAAGTTGTTCCACAGATTTGTCGACTGGCTAGCAACTGACGTGCATCCCAAGAATGGTATTGGGAGCGGAAGGGCCTGCAGGTGAGGCTAAAAACACTGTGCCCCTTTTCGTCAAGACAGAATCCCAACGCACACTGAATGGAACTTCCAGACATATGTTTTGATAAACAACGCCATTATATACATATTTTGAAACCATATGATATATAAACTGTTGGAGGGCCAAGTGTTGAACATTGAGAATTGGCATGTATATATATACGTGGCTAGAGCTTCACGCACACTGGAGCGTCTCAACTGCACATCGATCGGTCCTGAGCTGGGCTTTCGCTGGGCTAGGAATGGTGATGGCCGAGCTGTGCTGCAATGACTTACACTTCATTCATCCAAGGTGCGGGAAGCAGGGCGAAAGTCCCTGCATGGAAACACTGGAGGTTGGCAATTATTAAGACAAGAGGGGCCCTAACAAAATTACAAGAGTAACCTGGCCTTAGGAAGATGCCTTCTTTTTCTTGGCTTTCGACTTTGCTTTTGGAGTCTTGGTATCATCATGGTCATCATTCTTACCAGACTTACGCTTTCGGGTTTTGGGCTGTGCCGATGCTTTCGGCGCGGCATCGGGGGATGCAGATCCGGGACCATCTCCCTGCCGAGCTTTCGGTTTCAGAAGGGTCCTGAGTTGCGGCATCATTGACTTGGTTTCTACTTAACATATACGAAACTGATTGGATGAACATGCATAAGCAATCCATCAAACAAAATGACATGTATTTAGGAGCAGACTTCCTCAGCTTCGTGTCTTCCATAAGTGCACGAGAGGTCCTTAAGATGGATCATGATGTGTAACAAAGACATAGGTTTGTGAACCCTCCTGTGAATAAAATCCCTTTCAACAAACCCTTCCCATGGACACTGCTCAACAACCACCTTCGGCTCAGGAGTTGGCTCAGTCTCGATCTTCTGCACAAGATTGTGGAGGCACTGAACCTTCCTGGGATTGTTGGTGCAGGACCGGGGTTCAATTGTGGGGTATATATTTGGATGTTTCAAGTTTACGGTTAACCGAATTAGAATTTAAGTCGGGCAATGCTCTGATGTAAAATATTTGCGGGCATTGCACACGTCCAATTGAAAAAAGTTTCTTCTCATCGAAGCGATCTTTCTGGCCATCAAAGTAGGACTTGAGGTCGGCCAAATCATCATGAAGCTTCATCAGATTGGAACGGAATCCTTCGACTTTCTTTTGGCTCCTTAAGTCACAAAGAGTCGCCACGAGTATAGCATGAAATCACAATTTAGAGATATGGAACCTTAATTAAAAGCAACTTTGACTTTCGAACTGGGGGATGCTTCTAAGTGCTACAAGAGTTCTCTACGCATTCATTGGTACCCAGAGCCGCCAACTTGTCTCTGGCCGTTTCCATTTTCGACTGCACTCTGAGCATGTTGGCCATCACGGTGCTCACATTTTCAATGGCCTCCCGAATACAGTATAAAGACAATGGACACTTGACATACTTTTGGGATCATGTGCATGGATTCCGACATATCCCGGCCTCTAGGGTGTGTTCCTCTTCAACATCATGTTTACCCGGTACCCGGACCTTTGACTTGGAAGATGCAGTCTCATCCCCATCGTCATCCACCTGCTCCAAGTCCGTCACCTCTTCAGGTGCATCGCCTGGATCATGAGCGGTCGACTCAGCCGGTGCCAACCCCAGCTCAAAGGAGTCAGCAACCCCTTCCCCCATAGTTCGCTCAGTAAACGATTCCTCGTTCTCATTCTCATAGCTACCAGTAGTAGACACATCAACCCAGTACTCCTTGATCTTCGGCTGATACTTGTCCCGCCTGAACCCAGGGCTATGAGATTGAACATGAACATTCCATCTAATGTTGGTTTCAAATCTCAAATCTACATATTATATGTCGTAAAATGCATTTGTAAAGGTTCAAGCCTGACAAACGTCTTGACTCGGGATTTGTCTGTGCAATACGCCACGGCAGCGTTGATTCTTTCCCTTAGGGGGTTCAGGAAGGTCAACATACACCATGGATGGGGAAACCCTTTCTTGCCAAACCGAAGTATATAGTAAGGTTCAGATAGTGTATATTTGGGACCCCGATGCATGGCAAGAAAGAGATTCTCAACTAAATTCAATGATTCAGCAACAGAATGGCGAACCGATAGACTAAGAACCTGGCTTGTTCCAACCAAGCTTGATTTTCATATTCTCTTTGGTGTAAAACCCATTCTCAACATGTATCTTGGAACGACGGGACTTCTTCTGCATGTGCTCGATGTTTTTCTTGAACTCTTCCTCCAGGGGTTTGGGCTTGAAAGAGTTAATGAACATTAATGAACATATGTCCGTTCATGTGAACCAAAGAGTGCTTTAATTTGATCATAAATATATGATATACCCTTTCGAAAATTCCTAATTAGGGTCCTTGTTGCCACCGGCTTTTATGAGCATGTTCAAAAGGCATTTTCGCTGAGCACCCCCATTTTTCCACTGCCGGTGAATCTCCATCGATACCTCCAGTTTCCCTGACCCAGGCTTCGGGCAGCAGATGCGGCGCAATGCAGCATCCATTGCATTCTGCAGCTTGGCCGCAGCTACCTTCCACGGGCGTTCCCAAAAGAAATCTTAACTACTGTTGAGTGCCACCCCAAAAAGAGCACCCACAAAGGAAAAATGCGAAAAAGGAACCCCCCCCCCGGGGGGGGGAGGGGGGGGGTTCCTTTTTGCGCATTTTTAGCTGTTCTGGCTTGTTTGGCCATGGCAAACCAACAAGAATATTATAATATATCTTACATATCAAAAGTTCCATAGACCCATATCATCTATTTTCTCAGGGGTGGGGTCGGGCATGACCACTAAGACAGGCATTTGGTTTGCTGGGACACGGTGTGGTCCGGCCTTATCCTCCTCGGATTTCGGGGAAGAAGCATTTGGCTGGCTTTCCTCCCGGGCATTGTGAACTTGTTTTAATGCCATATATATATATATGGGATATGAGGATAGATGGGATCCGGAAGCATTGGCATCAAAAACTGTGATGGTACACATTGAGTGGTTTTGACACAACGAATCTTTATACAGGTTACGGATCTTAAGTATGCACTAGTAGACACACTCCACACAAATGAATGGGCTCCTTCTCTCCGTTTGAAGGGGCTAATGTAGGTGCAGGCAAAGCAGGCATTGGTGAGCAAGTCTCCTGCAGTGGGGCCAAATATGATTGGGAAAAGAGGCAGAGACCTGCATGAACAAATCATGAACGAAGTTTTAATGTTGATAACTTTCAAAACTCAGAACACAGATCCTTAGGTGTCTTCTGCCCCGGAGGTGAGGGTGTGGCAAAACAACTCTGTTTCGCCGCAGGTGTCGCTGGAGAACCTTGCTTGGCCTTCTTCAGCTCTTCCAATCGTCTCCTGGCTGCCTCAGCAAGAGCGGCCGGGGTTGGATGACATTATATACATGTCCATCTTGATATTCAATTATATTCAATTTATCCCAGTCAAAGTAAGTTTAAAACCTAAAACCTCATGTTATTATGGGGGAATTCCCATGTATAGCTAACTTATCACAAGGGTATAGCTGGGATGAACCACACCAAAGAATAACATGGACGTAGCATTGGTGCAACCTGGAAACTCCTACAATCTCATCGTAGCTTAAGGATCTGTTTAAAGACCGCTGCTCTTCCAAGAAGGAAGACCCCCGAAGCAAGGTACCACACGACCATTGACGGGTCTGCCGATCCATGACCAAGGATGGCATGAAATCTAATCCACCTTGAGACCTGTATTCGAGCCCATGCCATCAAATAGGAATGATGTGTATAATATATGATGGTATTCACCTGTGGTTTTACAGAAGATACCCAGTAATGTTGTACAAAGTGGTCCATTATCGTTTTTTTTGCTGAACACCCAAGATGCAAGACCCTGCAGCATTGAGAAACACCGAGGGGGTAAACATGGTTGGGAATGCCCTGCCCTTTGCAGGATTCCCATCCTGGCAAATTATGAATTTGCAGGTCAACCGTCATTGTTTGACGGTGCAAAAACTGAATCGGAGCCGAGCGATGGGGAACCCCAAAAGTGTACTATTTTAGGAGTAGGTTTCCTACGGTTTTTTACGCCACTTTTCTGCGAATTTATGCCACTTTCCCCTGTTCCTGCCACTGTGTACTATTTTCAGCATTTTTTTTCAAAAACGTAAATTTCCGCAATCGGAGTTTTTTGGAGTCGGAGAATTCCCCAAATCTCAGCTATGGAAGACACTCACGCCAGCATTCTGGCAAGTTCAGGGAATGACACCCGGCAAGATAAGTGGTAACCTCCTCCATGTTGGCATCTTCCCACAGGTCATTGAAGCCTTTGATGGGGCTCACATGGCACCACCTGATATGCTCAGGCTTCGGAGCCTAAGCTGCATCAGAAGGGGGTCGCAGGAGTTGCTGGGATTCCCAAGCCTTGCAAACATCCAGACAAGTAACATGACATTGCCGAAGAATGGGGGCTCGTTCCTTTCTGAACTTTCCCATAGTCTGCGCAAACCGAACACCGAAGCCAATGGGATATTCCCTTAGCTGTTGTGGAATTGAAAGATGGGTAGCCCATTCCCTACTCCCCTTAAAAACATGATTATATAGGGTACACTTCAGTAAACAAAATTATCATATAAATAACCAAAGTACTGAGACTTGCGTAAGTTGGCATTGCCCTTGAATCGTTTTCGTCCAGCCCCATCCACGTAGCTGTCTGCTAACTTTCGATCAACAACCCTTCGGGCTTTCTTGCTTGTTGTAAAGAAACGAATGGCGGAGGAATTGCTCCATATGGTCGTTCTTTTTGGGGTTCTGCTACCAAAGCCTCGCATCCAGAATGAGTGTCGGAATACCTGAGGCCAAGTGCCAGGCTTACAGTTGGACCCGCAAAACTGGGGGGGGGGGTATCCATATTATATATATAGCATATATATATATATATATGCATGTTATAACTCCAAGTTGAAGATTCCAAATAGATTGAGAAGACCATGGTCCTGACTGTTTCACTGTACATTTTGAAAAAACACTCATGCAACAGCTGGGGAACCTTTTGCTTTCCAAGAAGTTCCTGGAATCGTCTCATTCGAAATGCTAGGCTGGAACTGGGCTGTTCCAATACCCACACTCCTCCTTTGGCGGCAATCAGCTGCATAGCAAGAAAGGTCCTGCATGCGAGACAAACAAACATGGATTAGAGGTGCAGTTTGAATTCATCAGGCAGGGAAAAATAGGTTGAGTTTAGTTCTTAAGTGATATATATTATATATAACGATCCCGTTTTGGAAGCACAGACTTTGAAAAGAGGTTTTGTTTTAAAGACCCATGGATACATGGACAAACAAAGGGTCCTTGCAGCTAAGCAATTTCCTTTTTGAACTGAGAAGACCGAGGTGTCCCCATCAGGAAGGAAATAGTGACGATGGGTCGTTCCCCGTGATATGGTCACAAAGGAACTACAAACTAAGCCGAAAGCAACCACCAATTGCTCATCTTTTCCACGCAAAATTGTTGCCAGAAGTAGCCTTGGATCCAATTTTGGGTGATAGGAAACGTAAAGTACAAGGGATATGAGACGTTTTTGCAATCGTTTCGTTCTAGTAATCAAAGTATACTCAGATCAAGTAACGCCATCCCCGCTGGTGACAAGAGATCCAACGGGTTGCCATTGCAACTTGGCCTTCTTAAGCGTTTTGTCAAACGTCTTTCCATGAAGGGATCCCAGTGTTCGATATCCAAAGTGGCCGTCTCATAGCTAGCCAACTGCAAACAGCGGCTCAACATTCCAACTCCGGCGAAGACTTCCACGGCATCATACACCTGCCATGACACCGCAGTTGAGGGTTTGATGAAGTTTGGGATTTTGGGATAATCCTGGATTTGACCCAGTGTAATATATGTATATAAATATAGTAAATCAATAAATATACGACATATAAATATGTATACATAGAACATGCAGACATATATATATATATCTGTGTGTGCGTCTGTTTCACATGACTAGAAAAAGTGTTTCATCTTTTCACGTATCTGTATTTACACATATCATGTATCCAATGGATTCGCTGTGTATGATAAATTTGAACAAACAAATCAAACAAACAAATATATATATATATATATATCACACACACACACACATATGAGCATTCCATTTCCCACCATGTGATTGGCAGGTAAGTCCAGCCTGTTCCCATGGCAATCCATCAACATGCACAAGCAATATGATTGCTTGCATCAATACCTTGGTCTAAACATGCCCCCCTCCCCAACATGTATGAGGGACATTTGGCAAACAGTTGAACCATATGGCTTTGTCTGAAACCAATCTGGACATCCCAGTCTCAAGCCAAGCAGCCAGCGGCGCATCGAGGATCAAAAGTCGTCGAAGAAGCCGACGAAGCGCAGTATCACACATAGGCATGGTGGGCAAATGTGGGCAAGAGAACGAATCCACCAACCCCTTACAACCAAAGTGGCTACAGAGGCATAGCGACCAAGTGGTGACTCCAACACTGACTTGATTAGTTCAAATATTGCATTCCTCCAAAAGATAGCATGAAGCATTTATATGAACCTATCGAAGCCACACATATATGTGTAGAGATCCCATGTGTTTCAACACAAGGAAAAGCGGGGTTGCAGAGGGGTGCGCACCATGACTCTTCCTCTTTGGCCGGTGACCATATCGAAGCGTCCAAGCCAAACTCATTGCACCACCTGGCATGACGGAACAAATATGCTGAGGTGATAGGTCATCAACATATATATATATATATATAATATCATACATATATATATAATATATATATATATTCACACACACGCCGTCTTGCATGGCGATCCACAAACAGCTTCAAGGTAATTCCTCAGCAAAGGCAATTGGCTTTTTTTCCAGCATACCGTTCGAGCTGGATACCGAGTAGGATTGTTTGGCGTTTGAAATGTGCGGTAAAATCAGCATTTCCCCATGCCACCACACTCATGCCAACTAAGACATATGACAATGAGAGTTTCATCTCCATGGCGACTTCTTCGCACACATCCAGGGACAAAACACTGAAAATGGAATTGGACTATATGGAGGATAGTTCATTTTTTCTTGGACATAGAAGCCCTACATGTGGCAGACAGTCTTCCAAACCCACATGATGAACAAGGGTTTCCCTGCCATCGAAAAACCACTGGCCAGACTCAGCGCGATCAGCTTGGCACAGGTTGGGCTCTACAGAGATCCATCGAAAGATTGAAGCCGTGGACAAGCAATCCTAAAGGACAGGAGAAAGGGGCATAGACTTGGGCTGGACTGAATCGATTGAATCCATTCTGAAACTGTGATTAAAATTTTCAAAAAACTCAACTGAAAAAATGCGATAAGCCACATGAAAATCAATACTGTGCTCAGCTAGGTTTCCTGGTCGCGTGTCCGTTTCGAAGCTTACATTGGCATCACTTGCTGGCCTTTCCCTTCTTTGATACCTTTCGCTTTTTCTTAACCTCCTTCACCTTTGGTGCGTTGTTGCCATCACCTGCATTCTGAGCCTGCTGCTCTTCAAAAACCTGGCGTGCTGTTTTTCCTCGAAAGGTAGCCTTGCGGCATGCTGTGCACCCTCCCCAAATGAACCTGCAATTGGAGCATCCGAAGGTTTGACCTTCAAGCACTTCGTAACGCCAGCTTTTTCCCACCTTGACCCGCCCCTGATGAACCTCTTTCCAAGTACTGTTTTCCCAACTGCTGGACGCAACCTCTTCCACAGCTGCGGGTGCTGAAGTCTTGCGCTTCTTGCTTGCTTTGCCAGCAGGCTTTGTTTCTTTTTTTGCAGCTTTGGTCTTGGGCTCTGCAGGGGTTTCAGCATGTTCATCAGGCAGGCTCAAGGAAGAGAGCTTGGTTGGGCTCTTCATTTTGCGAAGGGTCTTCAGCTTGCGTTTGCTGCTTGAAAGGGGGCTATCATGTGCTGCCTTTGGTTTGGGCGCGGGTGTGGAAGCATTCTTCAAACCCTTGGTGCCCTTGGTGGTACGCTTGACCTTCTTAGTGCGTTTCGTTGCTTTGCCTCTCTTTGCTTTCCGCCCCCGTTTCATGTTCTTCCCCTGCGTTGTGCGCATGTCATGCTGCAAGGTAGGTGTGAGGCCAGCTGCAGGCTTCTCCACCTGGGACAGGTAGGTCATATGTATACAGGGGAATATAAGGGGATAGATGCCAACAAAAATCATCACAATGCATTGGTATATCGGGCATTCGGGCATATGAAGCAAAACCTCGCCTTGTCGGGGGTTTCATCCAAAGTCTCACGTGGCAATGGGCTAGGGGTCACTTCTGTAGGTGCTGGCTCCAAAGCATCCAGGCCGTCCATATCATCCCATGGCAAGGTCTCCAACTGCAACGGGGCAGAAGTCCGATTTTGACTTGATTGAATTGAATGGTTTGAAGGCCAAAGCCATTAACGCTCCTGAATGCAAAGTATATTGCCACAAAGTGTGTCAATAGTAGGTTGGTTGGATGATCACTAATCCCTTGCATGTTGGAAAGTCCCTGGTGCCTGGTCTGGGTTCTCGGGCAGGGCAGGCGAAGCAAAAAGTTTCCGGGCAGCACCTTCAGTATTGCATCGAGCCCACTAGGTATCAAAAAAAGTATAGGGCTTGGGGCATTCATTGGGCAATCACTTTTTTGAAGACATCCCCCTAAATGTATTATATATATAATGCATGAAATTACATGCATTTAACATCCCATAAAGCAGGGTTCCTATAACTATAATGACGGTGAAGCAGGCACCAGCTTTCCAATCCACCCCACTTGCATGCAAACCCAGTAACATCCTTCAGGGGACGTTTCAGGCTTGGAACCCACGGTTGAAGCAGGGGACCTGGGATGGTTGAGTAGCACAAGTTATCCTACCCTGCTGGGATACAAAAACCAGAATTTTGATTTGGTAAGATGCTCATGCATGAAAAATAAGGTATGCACGTCGAATTGGATCGGATCTTCATTTCTTCGATGCCAGCAAGAACGGATGCCAACTCCGCTTTTTGTGCAGGGGTCATGGTGCCCCCCCCAATTCCCAACTCGGCCAGCTGGGTGTCAATGGCTTCCATTTCTGGGCTACCTTCAGAAACCCCGGCTAACACAGGTGGGGTAGAAATCGATCCATCAGGCGATGGTGAGGCATCAGGGTTGTCATCGACGTAGTCACAGTCATCATCCCCATGGTCACCCGGAGACTCATCGTCCTTAAGCCACTCCTGCTCCTGGAGTTTCCACAGCTTCCGGTACTCAGCAATCTTTTTGAACAAATTGCGCACCTGGATATCCTGGCAGGGCAAACCCATGTGAGGAAGGAATTGGGAAGGAATGGTCAGGTGCTGGGCAGTAGTTCAACCATTAAGATTTGATAACTCCAAAATCTAATCTCTATGTTTTGGCATGGTTATAGATCCATTCCATAAGTTTCCAAACTCCAGTCCCGGGGTTTCTGGCCACGCTTGTGGGTATCCAGCTGCCGTCGGAAACTGAAGGTGTAGAGCCTCCTCAAGTGCCAAGCATCCATGTAGGCCGCCCTCTTAGGGTTCTGAATGTCGTACTTCATCATGGTGTACAGGGATCGGACCTGAACAGCAGGCACACCCAGAAAATACAGGGAACAACTTTTAGACCCACCACTGAAACCGCAAAGGGGGGGACCCACATAATCCGCATGCACATGCAAATATAATGTATTAGGCTTGATCAAGTTGACTCTTCCCCTGACACGATATGACATGAAACCCAAAGGGCCTGACTCTGAAGCTTTCCGATATCGATGAAGTTCCCCTCAAAGAAGTCCAGCATACACAACAAAGCGGGGGCATTCAATTCCAAAGACTTGGTGCAAATGGGACGTTTGGGGATGGCATCATCATCATCGTCACCATCACCCACGGCATCATTGCCACCAGTGGTCTCTTCAGCCGTAATTGGCCATTGGATCCAACTGATGTCTCTCCGGAATCTACTCCGGATGGAAGCGCAAGACTCCCAATCCAAAGCCAGCTCTCCATATGGAGCTTCCCCCATCAACACGACAGGTGCAGGGGCTAATAACCCAGGAACCACAAAACCCTTTGAGTAGCAAAGATCCCTGCGATATGGAACAATTTTGTTTAATAATACCAAATTTCAAGAACATGCCATGGTCACAAATTTTGCACAGCCACGTCCCATCCATGGCAGGACTGAAGATCCGAAAGTAAGCGAGTCAGCGCGACAAGTTCCGAAGGACCGGGGTGTTCATCAATGATCCTGAGATGCGGGAAGCTAGGTGCTGGGTGGTTGCATGGATCAAAAATGATGGGAAACCTGTTTTCTTTGTGTGATAGTGTTTTTTGGAAAAAAGGGTTGCTGTAAGTGTCCAATGGCAATGTTTTTCATGCAATCGAGATTCGGTCGATAAGGGCTCGCAATGTAATCCATTGTGTCTCCTGCCGTGTCCAAATCATAATGGGTTTCCAAGGTTTCAAGTATCATTATATATATATATATATAGATGTGTGGGATGATGTGGAACCGTCTTGCAATATTTGAAATCATGCAGAAACCATATTCTTACAGCAACTTCCCAAAAATAAATGGGCCACTGATGAAGCATGGAGCACTCCTTGGCCACAGGATTGGACCAAAGTCGAATGAGAGAGAGCTTCAGCTGGCCATGGCTGGGCTAGGTGGACCATGGTTGGTCATCATTTTCCCATATATTATAAACCGTTGATACATGTTGATATTTGAAGACTTTATGTTAAACTAAATCATCAATATATCTAATCTATCTTGAATATGTTTTCCTGGGGCACCTGGTCATGCTGCGGCCTGTTTCATCACCCCATTTCACCACCCAAATGTGCTGCGGATGGAGCTGAAACATTGGGCCTGGTGGAGCAAGGCTGGCCTAAGGGATGGAAAACCTGGGTTTGGATGGTTGTAGGGTAAAGTGTACTATTTCTGGTGGAAGTTAACGTTTTTTTTTGGGAAAACATCAAAGTGGCAAACAAAATGGTCAACTGTACAAAGTTCACTATTAAAAGAAGCTACTTTGGCGGTCTAGGTAAATCATATTTTGTATCATCAAACTAATGGACCATGGCTTCCATAGCTATGGTAAATAGCCAGAGGGTAATAGATGCAATAACAGTTATTTAATATCTACTATGTATATCATATAGGGTACATATACATATCAATATCATATTATGAATAAACTATATATTTGTACGTAGTTATATATTTATTTACATGGTATTTGTGTAGTTGTATGATTTGATATGGACCATCAATTCATATCAATTTAAAACGTCAATTTTACTGCAACCCATGATTTCTTGTTTCGGTGAGGACATTTTCAAGATTTTGCGAAGGAATTTTCGGCGACGGATTTTCTGGGCTCATCAGAACGGATCAACGCCAACTTACACCTGGTAGAACATTGTCGCACAAGGGTAACATGAAACTATATAAGTAGGGCCTGGGCAATTGAAATTATGACATAGTAGCTTGTAAGTGGCCTTGCGTTAGGCAGCCCATATGGGATCCTGGAATGTGCAAATGTGACATTCTGTTAACCCATGATATACGAGTCGACCTTTGATGCTCGGGGATGCGAAAACCAACGCCACGTGTTCAGGTCGGAAAACGAGCTCTTGAGGAGGCTCGGGTGTGGTGCTGGCTAGACATATTTGAAGGAAACAGTCTGCATAATTGATGGGCTAATGGAGTTCAAATCAACCTATCATGGGATCGTCGACAGTTTTTTCATTCATATTGAAATTTGACTGGATTTTTTTCAATGATCCAAGTACTCCAAGTCAATTTCTCAACGGGTAGTTGGTTGCGCACGGCGCACGTTATTTCTATAGAGAGGGAGTGAAATCTTCAGACAGAATCTGCACCATCTGAATGATCCACAACTCAGGCAGGTGGCCTTTCATGAATTTCTTAGTCCAGTTTTCTTTTGGAAGTACTATGTTACCATCTGGTTATTTAACATAGCCATGGAAAATCCCTTATAAATGGAGGTTTTAATGGGTAAATCTACTATAAATGGGTCATTTTCCATGGCTATGTTAAATAACCAGAGGGTAATTGTCAATTGTTGTTAGTTGGATTATGTGAAGTGTGCTTAGTTGGATATCTGCCAAAAATGGCATTGCACTTTTTTTTTAAAGCAAATCATCTACATCTGTTGGGTGCTAAAAAACATTCAAAGAATGCAAGCTAACTAAGCAAACTAAGCACCTGTTTCCGAAGGATCCATATGACAAAAATGACCCACTCATCCCGGGATGATGTTGTATTTGTTTAGAAGCACCTCATCGATATCACATGGAAAACATGGGGTTTCGAATTTCCGGTATCACTTGTTTTCTACCCTAAGATATCTAAGATGTTTCTCCCAACATCATCCGAATACTCAATATCCATGTTCACATCTCCATGTTCAGAACACACTTTGTACACACTTTGTACACACTTTGACCACTGAAAATATCTGAACATGTCCAAACCCTACTTCATTTGGAGGTTTCCAAAGTCATGGGGGTACCCCAAATCATCCAATTTATGGATGACCATGACTTAGTTCTGATTTCCAGTGATGACTTGGGGATAATCCCATTACAATCATAATCATTATCCATATCCCAATATTCATATACCATTGTGATCATATCCCATTGAATGGACATACCCTCTGGTAATTTAACATAGCTATTGAACATGGCCATAGAAATAGTGAATTTTCCCATGAAACATGGTGATTTTCCATAGTTATGTAAACGTTTACCAGAGGGTAGATTGAAGCTAAAGCATGGATGCTGACATCTTGGGGCTGACATCTTGAATGGATAATAATGGGATAATAATTATAATACCATATTAATGATGGGATATACCAGTGAATAATGGGAAAAATCCATTGTGATCATATCCCATTGAATGGACATATGTGACATATCCCATCGAACATTTTTGCCGAGAAAAAACACCATCTAGGCCCAGAACTTCTTCGAGACGGAAGCGGCCAAACTCCGCATCGATACATCGCCCTGCCGGCTCCAGAGGCTGGTAGTTTTTTTCGGGGCGATGGGGAACATCCAATGGGGATGAAAATGGGGGATATCCTGGAGAAATGTGGGATAGCTAGATCAATCATGGAGATATACCCTCTGGTAAACGTTTACATAACTATGGAAAATCCCCATGCTATTAATGGGAAAATCCACTATTTCTATAGCCATTTTCAATAGCTATGTTAAATTACCAGAGGGTATGTATTGGGGATAGAAATGTGGGAGAGTCAGGATTGATCTACATAGCTGATGAGAAGCTCGGATGGAGTCAGTGTACTCGGTAACCACAAGCATATCCATGTGGCAGGGCGCCCGACCAGGCTGGAGAAGATGTTGGGCTGCGAGTCGCAGCTGGATAGCGTCAAGAGTTTAGAGTGGCCACGCCAGCGGTGGTTGGATGGACACCGAAGTTTGCGACAATTGCAGTAGTTGCTAAAGTCATCAGATGTCTATAGATGTCTATATTTAGATGAGCATTTTTGCCAATTATAACTACAGCCAAAGATGGTTCCCAGCAAAGTTGGGGGATGTTGGGGGTTTCATAATGGCCACACGCCAGAGAAGATCTCGGGAGCAATGCCCGTGCTCGAGGGATTTTTATCACATAGACTGATTTTTTTTTGTCTTGCATAGATCTATAGAATCTATCACATAGATCTATACCAAATGGGTTTGACTCAAACTTCTTCCCGGATTCTCTTCTGACTCGTGCTCCAGACATCTTTACTAATTGTGGTGAGTTGCACACAGATATCCCAAGAATTTTTTGACCAGTCTTAGCTCATTGTGTCAACCTGTTGGCTAATTAAATCCAATCTTTTCGCCACCTGGCGAGTTTAAAAAACCTCAGCACGGCACTCATTTTGCTATAGATATCTGATCCGATCCTCTGATACTTAACAGAATCTATTGCCAACTTGGTTAAAAATGACAGAACCATTCAGTTTTTCCCATACTACTCATTTTAAATATCATGATAAGAGATGTGATTTTATTTCTTTGGGGCGTCAAAAATTCGGGTTTTTCTCAGGGAGAAGCTGCAACATCCTGGCAGCAGAGCTTCGGCCTTGCTTCGCTTCAGCACCTGGGATCCGACAAAACCCTGGGACCCAAATGGGGGCCCCGAAGTCGTAGCTGATTTTTGTTGGATGTTTTTTTTTCCCCAACATATGGTAAACAAAATTAGGTTTTGACCCATACCTGTATGTTTAACGGGAGCAAATGATGATGATAGAATAGATAGTGATAGGGGCTAAGTTACTGGCTTTGAGACAAAGTCCTTGTGACTCCTCGGAGCATTCGATAGAAATCCCACTCGAAATCCCATCTGTGGATGGACGTTCATCAACTGGGATCAGAATCGTAGGACTTTTGAACAGAGTTTCTAGGCTCTGTGTTCTGGAAGGGATTCACTAACAGATGGGATATTGGTGAATTCATTTTGGGGACAATTGGTCTTAAGAAGGAGCTTCAACCATCCAGGTGGCTTGGTGTTTGGTAGGTTTGAGTGCAGAGGGACAATATATATTTGTATATATAATTATATACATATATAATTATATATATGTATATACGAGCGACAGCTTTTATTCGGTTAAATGGAGACTTGTACTGTGGCGTACCCGTTTTGTCAAAAACATCAAAATTAGTTTGTAAAACGAGGTAGGAACACCCCGAGAACGAGGTTGGCATCGCAAGTAAAGCATCTGGATATAACAACAAGTGCGGCATTGGAGAACGAGGTCAGACCCCAAAAAACGTGAGGGGATTGGAGAACGAGGTAGGAACACCCCGTCAATTGCGTTTTGTACCAAATAACTTCCGCGGCTCATATATAATATATTAATCATATGTATATATATATATAGCCAAAATAAGTCTAGAATTGTGCCCCTAGTATTGCGCCCCTCGCACCCAGGGCTTCTCACCGATCAGGGCATGGAATTCCAGCAGCTTGGTGATGGCATTTGGGGCACCCATAAAAGGTGGCTTAAAAAACCATAGGAAAACCGTAGAAATCCTAGGAAAACCATAGGAAAATGGATGTTTACCCGTTTACCCTCTGGTAAACAAACAAAAAGCTATTGAAGCCATGGCCCAGTCGCAATAGTTGATTTACCCATTAAAAAAATGGTGATGTTCCATAGTTATGTCAACGTTTACCAGAGGGTAGATTGAAGCTAAAGTATGGATGCTGACATCTTGGGGCTGTTGAGTTTTCGACATGTAGATCTTTTATGAAAGAAAACATCTGAACTTTCTGAACGAAAAACCCTTGAACTCCAAGGAATCCATCACATTGATCCGAGGTTTTTTGCCTCCATATCCTTTCACTCCAAAAGCGGACAGATCAAGGACACCTGAGGGCAACGAGTGGAAGCTCACCCATCGTTGTGAATCAAGAATTCATCAACCTATGTTAGAATGGACGGTGGCACAAAACAATCCAGAAGCGAATCATTCACAGCCACAGCCCAGATAAATGACGCTTGGGTGGCGCTGGAGCTCTACATTGAAGTCACCTTTTTGTTGATTTGTGGCTTTGTTTCAGGGGGAAGTTTCAAACCTTGTTTTTGCATCATCCTTCTGAACTCATACTTTTATTTAGAGATTACTGACTTTCGCAATTGGATGATCCATAATCATCCATAATCCCCATTTCTGGATCGATTTTTGGATAGATTTATTCATTTCAAAACCACATATATATATATATATACACATATCATATATTCATTGATTTCAGTGAAATCCCCAATTTCCATGCTCATTTGAGCTTTCTTGGATGGCTAAAAAACGGCCAAATTTCCGCGTTTTCCTCTGTAGCTTTCATCCACATGGAAACCAGGACCTGGACGGAGTGGTGGAGGAGGTCTTCAAGCTGCTGCCCAGGCGGATGACAAGTCTCGGTATGTCATAATTGTTACAATGCTACAATTATGCAGATGTATAAAATTATACAGATGTCTTGTGATTGTTGACTTGTTATTTCTCAATGTTTCTTGGTGATCCTTTTTTTAACAAAAAAAGGTTCTGAGTGATTCTTTAGTGATTTTCTCGAAGTTTGACGCGCGCTTTGCAGATCTCCCTATGGCCCCAATGAGAAGTGTACACCGATGAAACTGGACCCTGGCTTTTGTGCTTGCGCGGACCAGGCGGGGCTGGGACTTGAGCTTTCTGGAGTTTCTTCTGGGGGATGAAGATGGAGGGCCGAGGGCCCACTCACTTTCTCGCCAGCTTCCTTGCCAGATCAGAAGGTTGATCCCGGCCCACTTGACATCACTTGACTATTTAGACATATTTAGACGATTTGTACATTTTTCAACTCTTGAATGCAATTAAAATAGATCATTGGTTGCCTGTGAGTTCTTTTTAAAAAAACTTGGGATTTGCTGAAAATAGATATATTTGTTTTCTTCTTCTGGCGTCTTTCAACAGCCACTTATACCAAAAGACCCTGAGCGCACGACAACACTGCCATTGGCAGGGACGTTGTCACTGGAGAAAGCAGGAATGGACAGCCCGAGCGCACAGCTCTACGGCACATATCCACTCTGCACCACCAAACCAGCATGGCTACAGCATGCTACCCCTAGAGCCCCCCGACTTGGCCATGGTGCGGAGAGCATCGAGGACTGCAAAGTGTAATTTGCTCTGGCGCTGGTCAAAGCACCGCTTCACTTTAGCCACAAAAACTTTGTCAACCAGATCACTGACTTCACTGCCTGGAAATGCTCTTCAAGGATGGTCCGGTCAGAGGCCTCAACGTTGGTATCTTCAAGTGCCACTTTGATCATCGCAGCCCAGCTGTGGTATTGCGGTTCTCCCAACTCTTCTAGGCCCTTGAAGTTCTTGCTTTCACGAGCCGTCTTGGCCTTGTCGGCAAAGCTCTTGGTGGCTTTCTGCGAGGACATATTTGTCAATATATTTATCACCATCGGTGATATTTTAGTCCACCTCTTGGGGAATACATACATCATATTATCCTATATGCAGATAAACATAATTATATATATATAGATATATGTATTACATATATACATATATATATATATATATACACTGTATATATATATATTATAATTAACACGTTATATTTATACGGGATATGTTTAAAACATTTTCTACGTTCCCCCTGGATCACTCCCTGGATCACCAGAGGTCCAAGTTCTTCACCCTGCCGAGGCGGAGCTTCGCAACCACTGAACGTTGCACTCGGTCGGTTTTCTGCGGTCAAAAGGTCAAAAGGTCACCGGGGGAACTGAGGTCGGAGAAAGGTAGGCTAGGATTCTGGACCCCAAAATGGAAGAAACATGGACCAACATAGACCAACATCTGGGGTTTTAAATGGTTTTGTGAGAGAAAGCGGAGAACCAGAGAACGAGTGAATCTAGCAACACAAACCTTCAACCGCACGGCGTCAATCCAGGAAATTGTTTGGGTTTTGAGAGATCAATAAATGGAAAGGCTTGTGATTTGTAGAAATGATTCAATAATTTTTCGGTCTTGAGTGATCAATGATGATTTCATTTGAAAAGTTTGTAGATTTTCGAATGTTTGCATTTTATTTGAAACATTTGAAGACAAGTCACCTGTGGCTTCCTGCTTCCTCAGGTCTCGACATAAATAATTAGCTATCAGTTGAATTTGCCGCCTACCATTCCCATGAAACAATGATATTCCGGATTTTCTGTACAAGTCGAAGCTGGTTGGTGGTACCATCCTTACCTAGGATGAGCCCAACTGATTGCTGCTTCTTTCTGATGCAGTCCCTTAGAATCTCGAATCTTTGTGGGACCCCTTGGCCAATCTTGTCGTTCTTGACACACGTGTGGGTAAAGGTTCTCTTTGTCAATTGACAGCTTTGGCTCTGAGTATCATGGCGCAGTTGCGTGTGCAAGGCGTAACCATGAACAAACTGAGACACGCAACGATGCATGTACAAGATGAAGATGTAGCAAACCAGAGTCACACTAGATGTTGCCTAGGATGTAGCAATCAACCAGAGCATCAAGCTGAAAGCGGGCGTTGATTCTTTTCAAAGCTGAAACCATAGATGTCCCCGACCTCAAAAACAAAGTAGATGTCCTAAGTTGAGCCCACTGGTTCAGCGCCGTCCGAGCCGTCTTTCAGCACCTCCAGGTTCTACAGAAGTATCGATTGCACTGACTGCCAAGTTAGCCAAGTTGAACACGCCAAATTGGCCCCGAAACTTTCGGTTTCGACTTGCCAAGTCTCAGCATGGGGCGTAAGGTGCGGTGCAACCAGTGGGGTGTGGAAACTCACTGGTTGGAATCTTGCTCAAATCTGCTTGGAATTGGTTCGAATTTTGGGGTACCTCAATTCTTAATCAACCATTTTTGATGAACAATGCTGATATATTTTCCAGGTGAAAGACAAGACACTTGGTACTTTTAAATTTGCTAGCTTGCAGGCCAAACTTGCCATCGCAAACTATATGACATAGTATGTTTTTTTCCTCTCTATCTGAAGAACTGTATCGGGCGATGGCGTATTCCCATTCAAGTTGAGTCCAAGCTTCCTGTCCAAGCTTCCACTGTCCCATTCAAGGTATGGTACAAAGATGGGGTACGAATGGCCACACCAAGTTGGCTGTACGTAATTATTGAATTGAATTACCCCCTGGTAAATTAACAGTTTGACCCTGAAAATGACCAATTTATATATAGTGGAAACTAGTCTTCCAACCCCGATGACTGGCAGGGTCTATGTTAATTTACTGGAGGGTAAACCATTTTTTCTGGCCATCCTCTCAGCAAACCAGAATATGTCACAAATGAAATAAGCTCATGTTGTGGTGGTTTCTCATCCATCAACCATCGAAAAAGAGCTCGGTCGGCCAGTCAAGTCATGATTCTTCATTGCCCAGCCAGATACACACACACACACACTTGAAACATGATGACACATGTACACACATACATACATATATACAGTGTATATATATATATATAATTATATATATACATATATGTATATACTCACATAATCTTACATACCTAATGATATTTTCCAGAATTAAGCAGATATTTTCGTCATGATCAGGCCAAAGCGGCGAGTAGCGCCAAAGCCCTTGAGGCGGCTTTCGGCACGAGTTTTCTGCCATTGAGATATGATGAATGGGTAATGTTCCAGTGAGTAAGGAGACTTTTCAGTGTTTGATTATATTATATAATATTATATATATACATATTAATGTATATATTTATATGAATTATATAATATATATATATAGTGTTAGACCATTGGGAGAATTTTCAGGATATTTGGGCGACTATTCCCTGCCCTGACAGAGGCCTTATATATGTAAATGGTAAGTACCTCCAATAAATCGGTACATGAAATGACCAAATGACCATTGATAGAATGGGAATATGATGGGTATGAAATGGCAATTTAGTGGGCATATTAATGGGTAACGGGAAAACATGGGTAAGTCAATGGGAAGAGAATGGGATTTAATGGGTTTTGATTTTGATACACATATATCATATAACTATAACCCATACCATCAATACCCAGCAATGATATTTGGGTTTGGTCCCTGAAAATGATGAGAAAAGCCTTGGATCCTATGGTCGACTGACCATGATTTTGCCCATGAAAAATGCCAGAAGTTGGGCTTGGAACCATCTTACTCTATTTTTGAAATGGAAAAGGCGGAATGGAACACTAGTTGTTTTGAAGATGGGAATAGACGGTAGGAGTCCAAGCCTTGCTGGTGACTTGGAGGGTCCCACTGGATGGTGTTTTTGGAGCCCACTGTTGTGGATGTCGTGGGCCCTAGGGGCCACAGGGTTGCTATAGCATCCCCAAATAGGGCTTGGTACAAAGCTCTGCGTGTAGGCAATGCCATGGTAGGACTTGCCATGACTTGCCGAAAAAACGGACATCTAAATCCATCAGTTTCCCATTTCTTTGTGACAGGTCTGTGGCGACACAAGTCGTTTGGGTGTCTCTGCAGCAGATGTCTTCGCGCAGTTCAATGCGTATCTCGGAACTGGATTTTTTTTTTTGCCAGGACGTGGTGATCATAGGATTTTTCAAAATGGGCCATGGGACCATTACCAATTTCGATCGAATTGATCTCATCATATCTCATCCCTTCTTTTTGTAGACCCAAAAATGAATGGATGTTATTGGATGTTCAATCCTATCCCAGGGTTTTCCCAGGGTTTTCAAACGGAGGGAAAAAACACCCTTTTCACCCTTTAAGCATCAGCAATGCTGTTCATCGGTTATTCCAGGTTCATCCTGTTGCAGAAGAAGAATTTTTTCGTGCAGCAAATATCCTGGGAGAGGGAAGAGGTCAAACACATGCAAATACCCATGACGGATCCATGGTTGGTATATATGCTAACATAAAGGGGGTATATTGATGGGATCCATGTTACCATATATAGCAGCACCATGGATCCGTCATGGGATATGATATACTGTACTTGACATTCTGATATGAATGATGTGCTACAATATACCCTTGATATGTAATAATAATATACAGCTTATCCATACTATCGGTCCATACATTGCAACACGTGTGTTGCACAGAACCGCAAAACGGTGTCGGTCCAAAGCACCCTGGGAAGGCTTTGGTGACCTGACCAGCTGCTGCAAGGCCCATCAACTCTTATTCTGAAGAGCCACAGAGCGTGGCGCTGGACGATGTTGAGGCTGGGCGGCTGGGAGAAGTGACAGCAGGATGTGAAAAATGTGAAAAGTCAAGCCATGTCATGCCCGGATTTTTCATGATTTTTCGACACCCTTCTTGAGCTTCTTCTGGGGATTACCCAGAAATATATAATCATTACATCATATGAAATGGTGATAAATTAATATAAATTACACATTACAATTAAAAGTGGTACGCCCTATAGGTACTGGTGATTTAGCAATCCTGAGTTTACATGATGCGAGTTCAGGAATGTTTCCAGCATCTTCAACCCTTCTCCGAAAGGTGCATGTGGGATTAATGGCTGTCCCACCAATGGCAGCAGAAGGATTGATCAATCATATGTAGGATTGGACCTGCGTTGCCGCTACTTCAGAACAAGCAGAAAAAACTGCGAAGGTGTCTTTGGCTTTGCAGGCCTTGCAGAAAAAGGACCTGCCACTGATCGCCACCCAGAGTCTTTTTCTGATGGTCAAACAATTTGAAGCCTTCAACGCCCCAAGAACCACCAAGCTAATTCACTTTGTGAAACGAACCCTATGGTTTGGGAATTTGGAGAAACACCCAAATGCTCTAGTTCAGGCATAGAATCAATCAGTAGTGGGTCCAACAAAACCCGACTTCCCAGCTACCCTGAAAGATCTGAAGAGGGTAGTGTGCATTTGCGAAGATACTTCATCTGGTTGGTGGTTTGGAACATGGCTTTTATGACTTTCCATATATTGGGAATTTCATCATCCCAACTGACTTTCACTCCATCATTTTTCAGAGGGGTGGGTCAACCACCAACCGGTCATCATCTGAAACCCAGTGAATTTGAAGGTTTAGATCTGAGATCTGATCTGTAGATCCATCCAGAGGAATCACAACTTGGAATGGTGCACGTTTCCATAGGAAGTTGTGAGAATCATACATTGATGACCAACCTGGATGCCATGGTATTCCAGCTCCACACTGTTGCCGGACAAAATCCCAGGAATCGGAAGTTGATAACCCGTATATCTGCCATATCCAACCGCGGGGTATATCCCGCATATAGCTGGGTTACAATATGGTTATTACATGTGATTACCCAATTACCAGCTGCACATCCAAGTGATTCCTGATTGGTCCAGAGGACACCTGATTACATCTGATTACTGGTCGAAGAAAACAACAATTGTTGGTCACATCGCATCGGAACATGTTGAACATGTTGTGTGTGAAATAAACATAAATAAACATGATTTTATAAGCCCATTTTACCCTCTTTGCATTTATCGAGAGTGACACATTTTTCGCTCGCAAGTGATCATTTTGGATTGATCCCATCAATCCACCCAAAAATCTTGTTGGTGAATGACCAGAAAAGCCTCTGTTAAACCAACACTTCGCTATTGAACATGGCCATTTTAATCATTTTTGCTTCGTTGATTTACCATGATTTACCTATTCGATCCATTTTTTGAAATGGTGATTTTCCATAGCGAACTCTTAGTCATCTTAGTCATTACCAGGGGGATATACCATTTGTATCCGTCACTCAAGATCGTTAGATCACCATCAACATCCATTTATAGATCAGTTTTCTTACCATATTTCTGGATACATGAA